TTTTGGTAACCATTGTCCCTGATGTAAATATGTAAAAATTGTGTACGTTTCTGTTCTGTGTCTTGTGTACTGTTTGTTTGTATTTGTCTTTCTTGCTGCTGTTATACCCAAATTTCCCCTTGTGGGACAATGAAAGGATTATTCTATTCTATTCTATTCTATTCTGTTTGTACTGCACTTCCTGTAAACATTTGTAGAACCAGGAAACTTATCAGGTTACAGACAAGCTAACTCGCTGTAACGTAAAGGTTTACCTCCTACTTCTGAAACAGCTGGACTCAGTTTCTCAGACATTTTCATCAAAATTAACATTATAGGAAGCCTACGTTCAGATGCAATTTTGGTTTTGAATCCAGTCCATCCCTGATTTATCTACTGAGATCAGGAAAACTGTTTGGCAGTTATTAAATATCTCTATTACATTTCGGAATAAGGATGTGAGTACCAAGAAGCACTTCTAGACTGTCGTAGTTTGCCATCATTATACTGTAGCCCTACATTTAAGCACGTAGGTTGATGTTGATGATGGTGCATTGTGTTGCAGGTGAGGTCATACAGCTTCTCTTGTTTCAAGTGCATTCACACACTCAGGCGCTTGTATGTTGTATGAAATTGTAGCAAGCACAATTAAATCCTTTATAGTCAGTAGCTGTGTGAAAACTAGAGGCAGTGGATTTAGCAAGATGTTTTCAAAATGTTATCTACCAGTTAACTCCATGCAAGTGCAGTAAATAAGAGTTTCTCATCCTTGGCAGGAAGATTGTTCCAGGCATGTCTGAGAACTTTCACAAAGAAAGTCTCACTATCTCACTGTCTTTGTAATGCTAGAATCGAAGTCAATGGATCAGATTTGACTAGTGATTCCATACATGCAAATTTTGTCTCTCTTGGCATTAATATTAAAGTTATTTTAAATAATGCTGCCCGGATGAGTGTCTGGAGGTTTTACTGAGATGGTTGACACATGGAAAGATTTTTGTTCTAGAAGGACTTTGCCCCGAACTGATGGTGTAATTTTGAAATCAGGACTATGGGAGCCAGACCACCTGTTGGAGAGTTTTTTGTCTTATTTCTGGTTGAATACAGTTTCTCATTTGTGACTAGTTCGAGTAATACTGTGTAACCTATAAGAATCTACACATCAAAAGGATATAGCACTTGATGCAAAAAAGGTGTTTTTTTAGCATTACAGGCCTGGTGTTTGAGGGGGAAATACAGGCACAGTAATGTTGAAAGTGGCGTGTTGCATAAAGTTAACACACTTATGTCCACAGCCGCTGGGGTGGGATGAGGTAGCCAGGTAGTTTGGTAGGTGTGGTGTAAGGTTCCCCTCTGTGGTCTCTGTCATTGTTTTGTGGCCAGATGGCAAAGCCACGTCTGGAGCTGCTCATGCTTTATTTATTAACGGCACACAGAAAGCTGGGCTACCAGAGAGTGCTTGTCTTTTGTCTGGAGTCTCTTTATCCATCTAAACTGACTCATCTACTCTAGGGTGGCAGCCCCAACCACACGGGACTGTGCTGGTGGTCAGTATTTGAAAGCTTTGTTCATTTGTTATGTACAGAACATTACTTCCTCCCCTCCCTTTTTGGCCATCTTGAAATTGTAGTAGAGTAACATATGAACCACTGGGGTTGTGGGATTGTACTAAAAAAATGGAGGACGGTGCGATAATATTATCAGTTAAAAGGGTTTTCCTTTAGCCTCTTTAGTATGTAAGCTTTGAATTTTAACCTTAGACATTTTAACCGGTTCAAAGTCACTTGCCGGGCTGGCTGCACTCTCTTTGTTAATGAAAGCCCTAAATGAGGAAGGGGGAAAGTAAACTGATGACTACCGTGCCAGCCAGCATTGTTCTGCAGGTGTAAAAAATAAATAAATAAATAAATAAAACTGCATGACTGTTCTGGATATTCTTCAGCTACCTCTCTAGAAAGTACTAACGCGCCACCATCTCAAACCACACTACTGTGGTAGTCTTTGCTTGCCTTGGACATGTAGTTTGTTATATAATATTACTTGATAAATAATTTTAAAAAAGTGTGGTTTTACCTTCTCTCACTAATGGGTCTAATTGTTTAGGAAACACTTAAAGCACATGCTGCACCTCATAGTGGGACAAGCTGTTATTATTAACAACCAAACCCATTATCTGTTATTGTAGGATCTTTACTGTACAGTATAAGGTGACTTGTTGTGATTTAGTGCTATATAAATTCAACTGAATTGAACTGAATTGAACAAGGGTCTTCCCATAAGTCCCATTAGACCTGTTGCTGCACCTGCACCGTCACTCTACAGTCTAGTTTTAGTTTTATTATTGTTTTTCAGGGATCATGCACAGAAACATTCACCTGATTTAGCTTTTAGCTTATGTACTTCTGCACTTCCTGGACAGGTACACACAGGGTTAAATAGGCTATAAAACAGAAGTATATATCCAAGATACAAGATAAAAGTCAAGTGATATAATCAAATACACATACACAACCTAAAACCTCTCAACCTTACCTACACCCACAAAAAACATACACATTGTAAAACCTTGCTATGTTAAAGCATCTTCCCATTTAATACTATGGAAGAAGTTCAGGATTGTCAATACAGTGGGGCAAAAAAGTATTTAGTCAGCCACCGATTGTGCAAGTTCCCCCACTTAAAATGATGACAGAGGTCAGTAATTTGCACCAGAGGTACACTTCAACTGTGAGAGACAGAATGTGAAAAAAAAATCCATGAATCCACATGGTAGGATTTGTAAAGAATTTATTCGTAAATCAGGGTGGAAAATAAGTATTTGGTCACCTCAAACAAGGAAAATCTCTGGCTCTCACAGACCTGTAACGTCTTCTGTAAGAAGCTTTTCTGTCCCCCACTCGTTACCTGTATGAATGGCACCTGTTTGAACTCATCATCTGTATAAAAGACACCTGTCCACAGCCTCAAACAGTCAGACTCCAAACTCCGCCATGGCCAAGACCAAAGAGCTTTCGAAGGACACCAGGAAAAGTATTGTAGACCTGCACCAGACTGGGAAGAGTGAATCTACAATAGGCAAGCAGCTTGGTGTGAAAAAATCAACTGTGGGAGCAATCATCAGAAAATGGAAGACATACAAGACCACTGATAATCTCCCTCGATCTGGGGCTCCACGCAAGATCTCATCCCGTGGGGTCAAAATGATCATGAGAACGGTGAGCAAAGATCCCAGAACCACACGGGGGGACCTGGTGAATGACCTGCAGAGAGCTGGGACCAAAGTAACAAAGGTCACCATCAGTAACACACTACAACGGCAGGGAATCAAATCCCGCAGTGCCAGACGTGTTCCGCTGCTGAAGCCAGTGCATGTCCAGGCCCGTCTGAAGTTTGCCAGAGAGCACATGGATGATACAGCAGAGGATTGGGAGAATGTCATGTGGTCAGATGAAACCAAAGTAGAACTTTTTGGTATAAACTCAACTCATCGTGTTTGGAGGAAGAAGAATACTGAGTTGCATCCCAAGAACACCATACCTACTGTGAAGCATGGGGGTGGAAACATCATGCTATGGGGCTGTTTTTCTGCCAAGGGGACAGGACGACTGATCCGTGTTAAGGACAGAATGAATGGGGCCATGTATCGTGAGATTTTGAGCCAAAACCTCCTTCCATCAGTGAGAACTTTGAAGATGAAACGAGGCTGGGTCTTCCAACATGACAATGATCCAAAACACACCGCCCGGGCAACAAAGGAGTGGCTCCGTAAGAAGCATTTGAAAGTCCTGGAGTGGCCTAGCCAGTCTCCAGAACTCAACCCCATAGAAAATCTGTGGCGGGAGTTGAAAGTCCGTGTTGCTCGGCGACAGCCCCAAAACATCACTGCTCTCGAGAAGATCTGCATGGAGGAATGGGCCAAAATACCAGCTACTGTGTGTGCAAACCTGGTAAAGACCTATAGTAAACGTTTGACCTCTGTTATTGCCAACAAAGGTTATGTTACAAAGTATTGAGTTGTATTTTTGTTATTGACCAAATACTTATTTTCCACCCTGATTTACGAATAAATTCTTTACAAATCCTACCATGTGGATTCATGGATTTTTTTTTTCACATTCTGTCTCTCACAGTTGAAGTGTACCTCTGGTGCAAATTACTGACCTCTGTCATCATTTTAAGTGGGGGAACTTGCACAATCGGTGGCTGACTAAATACTTTTTTGCCCCACTGTATATTATTATTTTGTAATTATGCAGCTTTCCAGTAGCTACAGAATTTCAGGCACCTATGATAAACCTGGGTTTAAATTCAAACTCATTTTTGGCACATGCTGACTTTTAGCACTTTACACACAACAGCCCAAATCACAAAGTGCTTTTGCACCATGAACTGTGAGGAATTAGGTGAAGAAATAATGAATCCAGTCAGTTTTCTCTTCCTGGAGCTTTTGGCTGTTTATCTAACAGCAGCACTTGAAGGCTAGGGTGATTACAGTGAGCCATTTGGGGATTTAGGTCTGTCTCAGGTGCACCAAGCCTTTAAAGAGCTGCTGCTGAGCGATAACTAAAGAAAGATTGTTTAAATCTGGTCAGAGCCTTCCTGCTATAACAGATCCATGCTGATCTAGCGTCCTTCTGTAATGGACTGAAAAATACTAAAAACACTAAATAAAGAGAATATAAAATGAAAAATGTATAAAATTATTATAGAAAGATACAGAAGCAGTGCTAAGACTATTTTTAGTAAAATAACAGAGGAAAAATTATTACTTATAAACAAATATTTTATGGTAATTAAGAGGAACATGAGGGTGGCTGAAAGCAGCTCCAGTCCAGCTGTATGAGTCCGTGTAAACACGTGAGTAAAGTCTGATATTTTCCTTGTCTTTTCAAGCATTTTTCCGCTGAGACTGTTCGAGAAGGTGTGTGTGTGTGTGTGTGTGTGTGTGTGTGTGTGTGTGTGTGTTTTCTCCATGCTTGCGCTTGTTTGCTCAGTCTGTGTGTGCTCTGTCTGCTCCTCAGTTCTTCAGAAAGGACCAGGGGGATTTCTTCATCGGCTGCTTGTTTCTAACAGAGCTCAGCACGCCCTTCGTGTCCCTGGGGAAGATACTTATTCAGGTGAGATGGCACATGCACATGAGCATTCACCTGAAACAAACTCTGAAGTCCTTTTCGTGGTAAATACGTATGTCTGTAGATATCATAGAGATGCAGATCTTTTGCTGTGTAGTAGCGGAGCAAACAAAGTTGTAAAATTATTTGCCAAACTTCTACTTCTGAGCAGGTTAGCAGCTGCAAATAGGCTCGGGCCTGCCCAGCTTTGCATTGCTGTAAGGAGTGCATTAATCCAGGGGCCAAACACAGCGCAGTTTTAAATAAAGTGAGCCAGACCAGTGAAGCTATTACTTTTTCTTTTTTTCTCTCTTTTTGAAGACACCCTGGGATGTCTTAAGAGAAATAAGTATAATTTTTAAGTATACATCTCAGTTTTTCTATGTTATAAACAAATATTACTGTAGAAATTTAAGAAACCCACAAGCACAGCTGATTAGGCTCATTTTGTAAGAAATAAAGTACTATTTTATAATATATTAATAACAGAAATTCTGAGTAAAAAAGAGAACAGTGAAAAATAAACTTTTCTGTTATTAAATTAAATACTAAGAACTCTTTTTTTTTTTTTTTTTTTTCTTCTATCTTACTTGGTTGCTTTGGCATAAGGCACAGGCCACAGATGATGTCTTTGTAGGTAAAAATACAGTTAAAGACTTTATGCCCTCCTTCTTTGACATATGGCAATAATTTGACAACTATCAAGTGGTAAAACAAACAGCAGTTTACTGGTTAGTATAAACCTTTAAAAGTGGTTGCTAACACATAGACTAACATTAATATCTTTGGAGACGTGTGATTATTTGGCACTAAACTCCCCTTGACAAAAACCCCAAACTCTTCAACGGGAAAATCCATCCTCTGACAACAAAAAGAAGAACGCTTTGAATTTGCTGTGCAGTTTGAAGTAATGTTAAAATTCACACACAAAACTCACCAGTTACAAAAATATAAAAAAACATGAATGAACTCCATTGTTCACAGTAATTTAGAGAAGTAGACCAAAAGCAAGGTTTGTTGTTTGTCTTCTATTGTCTGGTTCACACAGGCCTAAAGACCAGTCAGGGACCCTCTCGATGCTCGTAATCACCAGACACTTTGGTCATAGTTTGCATGAAGTATGCTAACTGGTCTGCAAACACTTGCCAACCTCCTAAGTGCCCGCACCTTTTGAAATGTGTTTATTTTGAAGGCCAGCAATCTGTTTCCAGTTTGCAGTTTGAACTTTTTCAACTTGCCCTATAGCTCGGTGGTTAGTTCACAAGTGTTTGTAGGCAAGTTATGGCTATACATATCATGCTTACTACGGGTCACCGTGAGAGTCTAATTTGACCTCGCAACAGCCAGCAACCACTTATGGAACATAAATTTCCCTCAGCAAGTGGAGGTTATATTTTATTTTATTTTATATTGCAGTTTTTTTAATTGTGATTTGTCTTCGATATTATTATAATTGTTTTTCTTCTGAATATAACCAAGCAGAAAGACTTTTGTGTGTAGTGGAATTTGTTTGAAGAGAATCTTTCACAGGTCACTCTAACATCTTCCCAGAATGTTTTAATCATTGTACCAAACACAGTCAACAGTGCTGAACAAAAATATGCATATTTAATAAGTATAAGGAGGAGAAAAGTGGAAGAATTCAAACACAGACAGTGGGCCATCGGATTCAGGCTTGAATAAAAACAAATGAAAACATGGTTTAACTAATAATTAGCTGCGGTTGAAGACAAAGGTCAGTGGTGATGGAGGAGACAGCCAGTCTGTCCCCGCTGGCCACTCATAACCGAATGAGTAAGGTTAATAATCAAAAGAAATAATGACCAGAAGGCACACAGTTGTAACATGCCACTCTTGAGTGAGTGATTTGTACTTGTGTACTTTTAGAAAAAGCAATCCTGTGGAGAAACCTTTTTTTTTTTTTTTTACTCAACTCATTCTTCTTGCTTCCTCCACGTCCGTAACATTGATTCATTAATGTTGAATTCTCTCGCAGCTGCTCTATTCCCATGTTGTTCCAGTATATTAATGACTAACCTGTATCGTGAATGGATTACCTCAGTTGTTCTCTTGACTGAAGTTTGGTCCGTTTACAGCATCCTGCCATGTGATAGCATTTGTCCCTAACCATCAGAAACCCCCTGTTAACTTTTATCGAGTGGAAAAACGTTAGCGTTCATCCTCCAGCTTCACTGTGTTTATGTTATGCTAACATAGCTGTGTAGCTAGCGATCACGTAGCACATCATTATATACCAGCTAGTACAACTTCAGTAACCCTACAAACGTCACAGCTGTTTAGTTTTCTGTCTTCATTTATGTTGGAAGTGATAGCAGAGCTGTACGTTTAATTTTTTAATTTTTTCAGAAATCTCTCAGTCATGAACATGCTATATCATGTTTAGGTGTAAACTAGCGAGCTAACTTCCTGCTAACTTCTAACACTGTTAAATTTAATAAATTCTGTTTTCATGGATGCCTGGATGTTAAACTAATTGTTACACCTGGTAAAGCAGCCACACTGATCATTTTATTACAGATGAAAGAGTTTAGACAGTTTTTAACTCTCAGTGATGCCGCAGTGTTCCTTTGACTTTGGGACCTGAAGCGGATGGAGTCTTGGACCCAGATTACTCCGTGAGGCTCCTGACTACGGTAGCCGTAATGCTCAGACACCATCAAGAGGTGTGGCTTCGTAGCTTACCAAAGTCTGATAGATTTTTGAGCGCCGTGTACCACATAAAATCGGTTCGAGGTCTGTAAGCACAACCAGAATTCATGCATAAGGCGCACCGGATTATAAAGCGCACTGTCGATTTTGAGAAAATTAAAGGATTTTAAGTGGCTTAAAAACAGAATAGCAAATATTAGATGACATTAGATCCCTAATTCAGTGTGCATAACAACCTCAAGCATACACAGGAAAGGTTCCCCAACATTTTCAGATCGCTGTTATTCTGAAGAAATCTCTGTGTGCAACAGACAAAGTCACAAGTCAGCATTGGGTACCTGTGATCTTCAGGCTTTCAGGCAGAAATGCATTAAATGCAAACATGATTCTGTCATGGAAATCACTACATGGGCTCAGAAATCATTGACCATGAACACAATCTGCTATAAAATCCACAAATGGTACGTTTTCCCAGCTGAAATATTTCAAATTTTTTTTATGTTGTATTGTAAATAAAATCTGAGTGAATGATATTTGCATCCGAATTTAAACAGCATCCAGCTGTCCATGAATTAGCGTTGTTTTTCAGATAAATATTTATTCATCACTGTATTTTTTATACACTTACAGACACACATAAATGTACGGTATATACAGTATGATATGAACTTAAGCAAAACAGCCTTAGCTCTCTTAACCAAAACAAAGCCATTCATCTTTTCTCCAAACTGTTCCAGCACAGGTGATCTGCAGAGCACTGCAGCAGCAAAAACCCAAGTATCTCCATTTCATTTGGGATGTTGCTTGTCACTGTTCTATCAATAATTAAGCTGCATGGCTCACCAAAAAAACCCACATCAGTCAGCAGCATTCAGGCACCGCTTGCTCTCCCTGCCCCTGAATTGATCTGTTTCAGCTAATGTTCATTAGTTTCGCCATGCAAAGAGCTCTATAGCCTACACTTTAGTAAAAGGGCCCAGTGTCTTACAAACCATCCTTTCTAAGAATAGAAGAGCCTTACTGTGTAGCTCAGTGAAACCAGTGGACCGTGGACTCTCAGGTCTTTGCTGACATCTGGTGTCGGTGGGCAAAAAGAGCAGAGCAATTCTTCACTGCTGACCACTTTTAGACTTAGTCAGCACTAACAGAAACCGCACCAGACAGTTTTACTGCTCTCATCAGCAGTGCTGACTGCTGTTGTGTGGAAAAGGGAACATCCAGTCTTTCAAATTAAAGATGAGAAGATCCCCGATCATATGATTTTTGTTGTTGGATGTTATGGCCCTGTTTTCCTGTCTCAGTTTTCCTATCCCTTTGACTGAGAAAAATAATTATGGGATTTGGTGGGATTTTTTTTTTTTTTTTGACAAAATGTAGTAACCTTCTCAACTACAAGCTAAACTTTAACTTTACGCAAGCAGCAGAAATGGAAAAATATACAATAATAAAGTTTTCCTTATTTTATTTGCTTACTTCAATAATGGATGAAATGTATCAAAAGAATTAAGCAGCAGAATAATAAATTAAAACTACTAAGTAGATACTGTGGCTTAATTAAAAGTATAGTATATAATGTCTATAAAGCAAGCTCAGTCATTAGCATGGCTGAAGAGTGATAGGTTTAAGCTACAAACCTATTTGCTGGAACGTTCAAGATAATTTAATTACACAGCAAAGCAAGACACGAGTAGGCAAAGTTCTTTATGTTTCTCGTGCACGGGAGAGAACTGGGCAAACGCCGTTCCTTCGCTCGACCCCAGTTGCTCTCATTTGCTCCCCCGTAACACTGCTCTTTTATTGAGGTTACATGAATATGCATAGGTTCATTAACATACGACGTCTACATACAAACAAAGAGTACCTTGCCTGTGTGTTGTGTAAGTGTGTGTGTGAGTGTGGGGTCAGAGTGTGACCCCACAAACGACTTCGCTAACCCTGCTGGTTTGGAAGTCCAACAGTTCATCTAAACAAAAGGCACTTAGACGAAAACTGACATAGCTACGTTTATCCTACCATAAAACAATAAGAGAAGGTAGACCTCTCCCATGCTCCCAGGATGTGGGCGTGAATCCCAGAGCACTCTGGAATGCACACCAAGCCTTTGCAGACTATTAAGGATCACACATATCACTACACAATCGATTATACACCTCTAAGCATATATGGTTAAATATTTCTAAGCATAAATGACAATAAACAATACAAATCGAAGAAAGAGTTTTTAAGTTCTCTGCTTTCAGGTCCTCTGCCAGACTGTTAACACCGTTTCAGTGTATTAGGGTACAAAAGTGAAGCATGAAATCCCACAAATAATTAATATGCATCACACCAAAATGCTGTTAATGTTACTGAGTAAAAAGTGTTGCATTGTTCAACTACAGTAACCTACTTGTGCACAGTTTGAAGCAACTTTTCTGGAGTCTCTCCCAGCTGTCCAAGGGCGAGAGGCAGGGTACTTCCTGGACACGTCTCCAGTCTAACACTGGACAATTAACAATTAAAGATGTCCCGATACAACTTTTTCCTTTTCAGATTCAGGTATCTGCCAGAGTTAAAGTAATCCTCACTGTGAGGCTCAAGGTAAATGGTACTTTACAAACTTAAGAAAATGAAATTCGCCAAGAATATAAATTCACTAAGCTATTAATTCCTTTGGGCTTCTGGAGACTCCTGGGTGTCACACTGGTGAGGTGTTTGGGGCGTGTCCTACCAGGAGGAGGCCCGGGGCAAACACAGTACACCGTGGAGAGATTACGTGTGTCATCTGGTTTGGGAATGCCTCGGTGTCCCCAGCTCTACATGCACAGACTGACCCATAAATGAAAACCTTCACAAATATATAAACAAACAGAAACCTCTGCTGAGCAGCTTGCTGGGCAGTGTTATAGCATTTTTATCACTTTAATTTTTGAATCAAACGGTTGACCTTTAAGGAGAGGTCAGAGGTCAAATAGGACATTTTAAACTCGATACACTACTTTCTAAATGTTGACAGTGCACATCACACTTGTATGAATCATAGTTTCTAATTTATAAGGCTTTTTGGCCTTTTTTTTTTTTTTTTTCCCCCTGTTTTTGGCCATTTTTGATCAATAAATCATGAAGTTAACCTTCAAGACATTTGCAGATGTAAGACATATTTTAATAGACTGTTAACATGACCCCTACTCTACACCCCTACAAAGATTTATCAGAATCCATTCAAAGCTACCACATTTACAGGCAGAGTACTGAACATCCACCTGAAACCTAACCTCCTTGGGGGAGGCCATAAAAGCCACTGATATAGTCAGTTAAGTAGCTCCAAGCTGCTGTCGCTTTGCTGTTACCTTCCTCCATGTTACGTTAGCACTCCCTGCTAATGACTGCTGCTGATGTGTGATAATAATAATAATAATAATGGATTGGATTTATATAGCGCTTTTCAAGGCACCCAAAGCGCTTTACAATTCCACTGTTCATTCACACACTGGTGGAGGCAGCTACCCTGGGATAGACTGACAGAAGTGAGGCTGCCATATCGCGCCATCGGCCCCTCTGGCCTTTGGATGAGTCATCAAAAACAGTTGTAGTTTGGAAAATGTGTTTTCACTGTGCTCTCTGAACGCATCTCTTCATCTGCAATTCCCTTTTTTCTCTTTTCTCTCCTCCAGCTCAGCCTCCAGGACTCCTGGCTGCACAAGCTCAATGGCGGGATGGTCCTCTTCACCTTCTTCATGTGCCGCATCGCCCTCTTCCCGTTCATGTACTGGATGTACGGCCGTCACTACAGCATCCCTCTCTACAGCGTGCCCTTCCACCTGCCGTTGTCTGCCAACCTGGGCAACTCGTGCATCTTGGCGCCGCAGGTCTACTGGTTCGTCCTGCTGTGCCGAAAGGGCTACCGTCTTTACCAGCGCAGCCGCAGCCCGGCCTCGTCTCCCACGGCCGACACCGCCGCCGTCACTGACAGTTCAAAAGATGATTGATACGCGGACCACGACCGCTTGCTCTAGCCACACACTCAGCTACTAACGCTCAGCCCAACCATCGTACTGTAGTACACCAGGACTGCCTGCTCTCGTTCCACAACTCCCGGGCATTTTCCGCACACTTCAACCAACTCCTCTGCCTACGTGGACCTCTCCACCTCCAATCTAACTCTACTACTGAAGTTTAGTGATTTTAATTTTTTTGGGATGTGACTCTGGCCTGGATCTCGCTGAAGTGCTTCACTGTGTCTGAATACATTTACAGCACTGAAAAAAGAAGTAGAAAAAAAAAAAAGATCATGTTTGCTGCACTGCAAGTGAAATGTGGAGCAAACGTACCAGAAACTAAAGAGGAGATACGATCCTTACTCCTACTGTTTACAGCTGCTGATTGGAAAGTCCTGTTACAGTGTATGTTTGTGGGTGTTATGGCTGGTTTTCATTTAAGAGTAACATGTCAGATAGTTGGATTTCTTTTCAGATCATTTTATTTGTCACGCTGGTGACAAGGATTGGGGCCTGTGGTGGGCGGCATGGAAGTTCAGGCAGTATTAGCAGAGATAGGAAATGAGGAATACGCGTCACCAAGCAGTTACATCGTTACCTGGTTAATGTGATAGTCTCTGACTTTTCACCAGTTTCTCATAGTGCACGCAATTACCTACACTCTTATTTTCATCAGTGTTTCCACCCTTCATTTTCAGGTTTATAGTTTTCCATTATCTGTAGGGAACTATTTTTGACACCATGATTGATTAAGAAATGGCCTCTCTCACACAGGGTTTTTTTTTTTTTTTTAAAGAAAACAGTAATATTGTAATGTCTTGCCCTGAAATAATTTTTTCTTAGGTGTGAAGTTCAGCTCCTAGGCAGATAAAATTTAAAAAAAATCATACCTGGTTTAAATTTGGTCGAGGTCATCTTCTCATGGAGTTTTTCCTAAATTTAAATTCTGGATACTTCTACTTGTTCCTCCTCGATGTGTGGTGGGTCTCCTGCAGTGGATCCAAACTGTAACTGCTTAACTTTTGTTTTGTATTCTCAGTTAAAATGGGGAGCATCGACCACATAAGTGACGCCAGCACTAAAGTACCACACCGTCTTTAATTGGCCACCAGGAGACGACTTTTCTGGGTGCAGAAAGACTTGGAGGGAGGGATTAGCCCTCACCTCACTTTCTCTTCGACCGCAATGCTTTCCTGACGACTTTATGGGCTCAAGCGCTAGTTTCAGGGTCAAATTTTATAGTCAATCTAAGGGCCTGAAAGAAGGATTATCCAGGATGTGATCACTTGCTCTCTCGTCACATCTGGTTTTAAAATACCAAGATTGCGACAGCAGGAGCTCTCAGCTTGTAGCTTGATAATTTTGTGACGCGAGGGTTGGCTGTGTGGGGGGTGAAAAGGGGTAGACGGGAGAGGAAGTAAAACAGGAAATAACCAAATGAGAGGTAAACAAGAACTTCAAAAAAAATGGGTTCAAACTAAGGATCCTTTTGGGACATTTTTCCCTTGTTGCTACACATCCTGCTCTTCTCACCAGTTATGATTCTTGACACAAAAGTTGGATCAATTCAAAAGAAAACCTGACGTTTGTTCACCTTGAGGTTGACGGTAAGGTGTGAGTGGACAGGAAAGGATTTCAAGTGAGTGATTTAAAAAAAAAAAATAGAAACAAGCCCCAACCGAGGTGAACATTAAGATTAGACCAGTGAACTTTATGCCAGGTATGGTTTCTTTGGGGGGTGGGGGCTTCTGTTCAATGCTTCTGTTTTTTGCCTCTAAACGTCACTCAGTCCAGTCTGATGGCGTGATGTGGAAGGTACCATGAGGCCCGGTGAAGGTCAAGCGGCTCCCAGCTGAACTCAGGGGCAAGGTCAGAGTGATAAATGGAGGGGTGTGGCTCATCGGGCCAAACAAACCACAAATAATCAAACAAATACTTCAGATTATTTATATGCACTTGTGTATCAGGGGTTGCACTCATCACATAGGGGTTTTTAGAGTTACATTAACTATCACTTAAATTAAATATATATCTTGACTAGAATAGAGGATCATTTTATTGTGCAAAATTCCAGTTATTATGAAAGAAATGAAACTTCTTACGAATTAATCAAATCAGAAAACAAAGAATTCTGCGTATTATGCATTAAATGTCCTTTTTTTGTTTCCTGTAAATTCAGTCTATGCAAAACAAATGTTGGTGCATGTATAACTGAACTAACATCAGGTCATATCAAGCTCATCCATCCCTCATATGATGTGCTCTTTGCACAGTTTTCTAGGAATCTGTGTTTATCTCTGCTCTACATTTCAGTCTTATTACTGAGTCTTAGTTTTAATTTTTTTATTTATTTATAATTGCGTAACGATTAAAAATAACTTCATATTCATTGTTAGTTTGTTTTAGTGCACATGGACACATTAGAGCTGAATCAAAACTCACTAAAAATCCATTTAAATGGAACGTGGCGCAGCTTACAGCTAACAGGCATGAAGCAAACCGCCTTATGTTAATCCAGCGTTTTTGTGTCTTTGCTTTAAAATCGAAATTGTCTCCCTCTTTTTGGCAGCTTCCGCCAAGCTGTTGTATAAATGATAAAACATAATGTAACAGTAGTACAAGTTGGAGCACAGAAAGCTTCTGAACTCTTTTGCCCAGATTATTGATGGGATCAAAGTGACTGCTCGTGTTAGAAACACATTCTGCATGACAGCTCAAATATTTTCCCTCTGTGAGTCTGATCATCACAACTTGTTGTGAAGGGGGGAGTTAAAGAAGAAGCCTGTTAGCTGAGCAGCAGTTTGGGTAAGAGGAGGCGAGCCGGGCAGTTGAATGATGGGCTTGTTTGTCGAGGTTGGCTGGAGTGCGTCAGGGTGCTTTTGTTACTGCAAACATTCCTCGCTCTTTGTGTTGCTTTTCTGCATCTTTCAGCTGAATTTCTCCCACTTTCTCTTTTGATGATTCTAATAGTATTAAAGGAATTACGATATCAGTTTATCAGCTGTTTTTTTTTTTTTTTTTACATACATGTAGAGGGTTTAAACATTCTCCAAATCCCAAAAAAATCAGATCCATCCCCAGTTAAGGCAGTGAGTCTGGGCTACCTTAACTCTATGCAAGTAAAACCGCGCTTCTCAGCATGTATTTACACACAAGGTGTTTATATTCATGCTAAAGACAGAACTACAGTTCAGAATTGTGGATGTTTTTATCCCAGATTCAGGTTTCAGAACTTTACAACTCTCACGCACAAAAAAATGGAGTGCATCTAGTCTCTTACACTGCAAGGAGGTGTTAATAATAGGACGTTGTTGTTTCTGCACCCTACGCTGAAGAAGACGCGTCTCAGTGGACTATCTTCTTCCCCACTTAAATGTCCTCAGTGTCTGGTCTGCTTCTGGGATGACCTCTGAGATTGAGATTAATAAACTGGGCTTGAGTCTAACAGCTGGTTTAAAGTCTCCACTTTCACTGCAGTTATAATCAATAAGTTCCACTCTACTTAAAGTTACTGTCCCACTGTTTCTGCTCCTTTCATTTATTTTAACTCAGCCCCATCTCTTGGTTTGCTGTGAAGCTAGCGGAGCAGAATGAGCCCTCACCTCTTCTCTGCCGCCCTCTGCTGTCAGGCCCATCCATTGCTTGTCCACTCTGAAGGCTGTGCAGTTGAGATTAAATATCTCAAGTTTTCAGCCAGCGTGACCTCACCCTCCGAAATGTAGCGGAAAAAACTGACAGGTACATTTGTTTTCTTGTGTTTGGAGGAGGGGACAGAACAGAAAGAATTTTGCTGTGGGAAAGTGTGTGCTTTTTCTGTTTGTTTGGGGGTTTTGTGTGATACCCTAAAGTTGAGCCTGTCTTCATAGCTTGCATAAATGCCATCTTGTTGACTTTTTCCTAAGAGGACTTTTAGAAGATTGTTCTGAAGCTTTTTTTTTTTTGCTTTTTTTTTGGCCTGGATTTGGCCTCTCTGCTAACAGGATGTTGAAGTTTAGTGGCTTCACTAATAAAATTCAGTCTTAGTTTTGAAAGCGTGGGAAAGATGTTTTAAAATGTTAAAAAATTAAAATATATAAACATTCCAGTATCCTTATATAAAACTGACCCCAATTTCAAAACCTCAAATCCTTTAACCGTTTTTCATCCCCTATTGGCTCATTTATTTTTGTTTTTTCATAGCCAGGCGACAACAAGCCACATTACTTTCATTGCTTGAGAGCATCACTGCCACATGAAGTCATGAGTAGTTTAAATGCATATCTTTCTACATCTATCACTAAGTACGCTCTGATTATAGAAGACCATGAATTCATCCTCTTTGCTCAGGGTTTGATGAACTTGTTAGGAAACCGTGTGTGTAATGTCGAGGTTTACTGTAAGATGACGAAGCTATGAGACTGATTCTGAAGAGGATCACAGTGTGCTGTTTATTTCTATGTGATATTTTTCAAAGCATCAGTTTTCCTTTCAGATTTTTCTCATATTTATGCCTCCTGACATGGCTTGTGATAGTTCAGCTTCTAAGGGTTGGTAAACCAAAGACTGATTGCAGTAACTATAGTCAGATTCTTTTCAGTCTTGTCTTAATGGCTTAAAGTTACCCACATGTCACCCCAACTAAAAACCTAACTAACCTCCCATTTTGTCGTCCTCTCTATAAGCTCACCAACACTGGGATGTACTGGAGGAAAGCCTCTGTGTTCACACAAAGTGGACAGAAGTTTGGGATCAGTTTGTTAATTAAGGGAAAAGCTAATTTTTAGCTCCATAGTTTTATTCATGGGCTCCACCATAGTAGCTTTGCATGATTCACGGTTCAAAATCATCCTTGTTCTGTAACATTCAAGGGTAAATAAAAAAATAAATAAAAAATGTCTGAACGACATTTAACATGAGCACCATTGTTATGACAGAAAATCAGGAAAAGCACAATTGACCCCCATTAGTCATAAATTATTAATTATGTTTAATAGATGCCTCCCACCAGGTGCAATCTGCTTGAAATCAAAGTGGTTATCCCCGAGTTTAGGGTATTGCATGCCTAACCTCTGGGCAAAATTCAGTGCAATCACCAGGCATTGCTTTAATAATTCTACTTCAGTGTAACTGCAAGGTTTTTATCATTTTAATCTCCTTGATGATTACATAAGCAAGACGTTTCTGTTCATCAAACTAGACACTGATGTACTTGTCCTCTTGCTTTCCCACAACTTTTTCCACTGTTTCTGTTCTGTTCAAGGCAGCTGTTTTCAGCTTTTCTGTTTTATACAAACTGTGAATCAATTGACTCTTGAGGTGTTTCAGAAGAAAGCTATTTCTCTTTGGCTGTTTTGCGACTGCAGCCTAAAGATTCTCAACAAAGGTACTTTGTTTCAAAGACAAAAGCATTTTGAAGTGACCCTAGACCTTTTGGGAGCAATGTGCTTTATCTTTTTAGCACAGTGGCTGAAAAGTCATTGCTAATGTTATGTTTGGACGCATTAATACGAAAATCATATTAACTTCTTATATGTAAGGTTGTATTTTAACCTTGGAACACCTGTTCTATGGTTAAACTGGGAATATGGTCATTTAATCCACCTTTGAACAACACTGGATCCATTGGACCAGGCTAATGCTAGCATAGGCTAACGCTCGTCTAAGCTAGTGGTAGCATAGGCTAATACCAGTATAGTGCGTTCTATTGTCTTGGAAGTCTGAGCTGGGAGTGATGTCATTTCCAGTAGTAAAGTCATAACAGCAAGAAAAAAAAGGATTTGTGTTGCTCCTTGGTAAGGTAGAATCATGCTTCAATAGCAATACAGGGAAATGTACCACTGCTGTACTTGCATGCATACAGTTTGAGCAGTGCTCTGCATATGATTTATTTAGTGGCAGTGCACATTAAAAGTTTCATAGTTTTATCACTTTTTACATTCCCCTGGATAAAGTCAGCCCTGTTGGGGCTGCTCAGACTTTTCAAGTTGATAATGTGATGTCAGGGTGCTGTGGCCAGCTGAAAATTCTGACTTCTAATTTTAAAGTACAATGGAATGCACTAAGCTGGTGGCAGCAGATGGTAAGCATGATTTCAAGCTAATATACACAAACACTGCTATAAAATAATGCTAGCATAAGCCGTTGTATGCTAGGGGTAGCATAGCTTAACACTAGCATAGGCTAATGCTTTTTTAAAGTAATGCTAGCATAAACCACTATAAGCTAGTAATAGCATAGGCAAATACTGGCTTAGGCTAATGTTCTTATGCTAGCATAAGCCAGTGTTGATAAAAGCTAACAAAGTCCTACATAATGCTGAGTAATAGCTGCCTTTTTCTTTTTTTTTTTAAATGTTGTTGTTAGAGACAGAATACTCCATGTTAATCATTTAACATACACAACAGTGCTATAATATTGAGTGGCTGTAGACTGTGAGTGATTGAAGCTTCAAGTTAGCCCTTAAATGTCTTTTCGCAAACTGTTAAGTTTCCATGCTAATAATTTAGCTTTGGCTACTAATTTGTTATTTAAAGAGAGAATTTAGCGGCCAATTTCTATGTTACTGTCATGTTTATGTTATTTAAAGGTCAAAGTTGTGGATTCTTGAAATACAAATGAGGACAGTGGGGTCTCTTCAGGTCTTGTGACAGAGGATGTGGTAGTTTGCTGCTTTCTTTAGTCTCACATATCCATATATCAGGTTTAAACCTTCTGTTTCTGACTGGAGCTGGAGGAGGTTTAAAATAAACTGTTGGTTTAAAAGCTACGATGGGTTTTTAAATTCTAACCAAATATTCTCGTCAATTTAGATGAAGATTATGTGTGCTGGATTTGGGAGTAAATTTAACATTAGAAAACAATATTTTGCTGTTTCTTCTGATGAGATGTCAATAAAATATATTTAACCATAAAGATACTGAACGGGTTAGAATATTGAGCACTGCAAAAAGGAAAACTGTGTTGCTGGTACTGATTTTGATCTGTGGACAGTGAACCAAACCTGGTCTCCAGTGCCTTGTGAAAAATCTATTTGTGACACCCATAAAAACTCAGTTAAAAAAAGAGCTAAGATGGCAGGCAGTGTTTACAGGTTGTGGCTGTATTTGTCATGTTTGTTGTTGTCATCCTCAAAGAGAAATTATATTTCAGGTTTTTTTTTGGTCTTCACAGCAATCATTAAGACATATCTAATAGAAGCAAGATTTCAGAAGGTATAAAGTTGGCCTGTGATGCTTGTCTGTATTTCTATTCTTATGTTTTTCTCAAGTTACTTTGCATGATTCAGGGTTCAAAATAATTAGTATATGCTGTATACTTGGCTCTTGAGCAGTGATACTTCCTGCCCCTTAAAATGAATTTTTCCCCTCCCACAAGTGGGTGGGGCTTCTTTACTTACCATATTAGGGATGTCCACCAATGAGATCATACACAGCCAGGTGTGGAAAAAAAACATTTTAAAACCAAATGTTTAAAGCAAAACTGATCCTGTTATACATAATTATTCAAACTTTGATCATGTTAAGAGCAAAGAAAATAGATGACAGAAAATATGGAAGAGCATACTTTAAACAATCTGAAACAAACCACCACACGTATATAGACATGTCTTCAGTACACTTTATTTGATCCTGCTGAAATTATGGCATTTATGTAATAAATATTCTAATATTTTGCATTTTATAGTATTTCATTAGTACTTGAACCATTCAAATGTCTCTCATAGGCTTAAGTTTGTTTGCAGTGTTTTCATCGATTTAGCGAGATGTGTCTGTTTTAGAAGTTTGGATTGAAATCTTTCTGTCCATATCACTGGCCCTTCCTGATTGACTTAAATGCAGCACTTTCACAACCTTTAACACTTCCTGCCCTGCATTATTTTTGATAACATTCTAATTTTTCATACATGTATATCAGGATTGATGTATCTGTCCTTTCTTTTTTGTAGTGTGACCGTTTGGTTTTTTTTGGGGGGGGGGACATTTCCTATCTGAAAATGAGACTGGAGTGTTTTATGAGATAATATGAGGAGTCATGTATTGTTGCAGCTTGTGAATTCAGAGCACCCCTTTAAAATTCAATAAATTTGATTTGGTAGACTGTTTTGAACAAGTCTCTGCTTTATTTTTTTTATTTATTGGACATTACTTCTGCCCATTCTTGGTTATGTTGTTGTAGTGTAAAATTATGGCCACCCAGAGGTGCTGCTGGCTCAAGCTGAGCTGCTGGAGTTGCACTGTAGAGGCTACATTAAGGCATTAAAGCTGGACTTCTTTAAAATAAAGCATATTTTATATGCTTCTTTACATGTGGGGGCTATGGAGATTAAGTTACATTTAAAGTCATTTACCACTGTTAAGAAATCAAAGATATTTTAACAGAATACCATAAGAAATTGCCCTTTTTTTATATAAGTAATTTTAAATGATTTTGGGACATTTTCTAAAATGAGTTTAATTTGAAGTTTACTGTGACATAAAATCTGCATCTATGGAACTGTGGGTAAAATACGATTTATTTATTTTTTATTTTAGTTGTTGAGTTTGAACTTAAATTAGGCTTAAAAAAATTACGTTTTTTTTTTTGGTTAGAAATTGATCGCACTTACTGTTTTTGTCACAGATTTTGATTCAGGAGTCTTTTAGTTCTTTTTCGTATACTGTTTCTGATATCTGAAGGGATGGCAAACAAAAAGATGAAGTTTGAGGTAGTATGAGGTTGTATTTGTACAGGCTGGATCAGCACATAAATTCCACCAATGAAGACAAATAAAAACAAAAACAGTCAATTACATACAATATAATAAAAAAAAAAAAAAAACACAGTTCAAAGTGCAGTAATGTGCATATTTATTTCTCTTCTTTCTAAAAACAACTGATATTACACCACCAGAAAATGTCATTTACACTAATGAAGCTATCAGTGGAAGGACAGTGTGACAGTTATATTTGATATTTTTTGCCAACATAGCATAAAAACTGCAGAACGCTCAAATGTCAGAAAGACAGGTTTAGTCTGAGCAAGTTGTTTACACAGAAAAAGTCACAAAATTCAAAAAGCTATTTTAGCGTAGGCAAAAAAAACCTGATGAGTTTCTAGCTGTAAGCTCATCATGCTGTTTAAGGGATATTGCTCATTGTGACTAAACATTTTTAAAAAATGTTGCATTTATCTCCTATCAGCTACATTATACACTATATAAGCATAAATTATAAAATTACTTGTGACTTATCCTTTCATTTTTCATTTACTGTAAGGTAACTATGATTTCATAAAGCTTAAAAATGTACCAATGAGGACCCTGATCACCCCCACCAGCACCGCCAACCCCCCCAGAGACAAAAAACTTGAACAATTCTGGCCCCTCCTCCTGTTTCATGTTTTCCCGTCCCCTTTATGTCCCAAAATAAACACACAAACCTGTTGCTCCCAATCTGAAGAGGCACATTTTAGTTCATACACCACGCTGGGCAGCAGGGCCAGCGGGGAGGGTAAAACGTCCAGGAAAATTCAGTAGTAGATGCCCTGCCACGGAGGAGGGTGGCAGAAAATCATTTGCCACTTCAACTGAATTCCTTTGAAAGGTTAATTTGATCATCTCCTACGCGCACTGAGAAAACGATCTGCCCGTGCAGCACATAATCTCTTTTTCCAAGATGTCATTGTGCACGAGTTTTCCATGACTTATAAATAACAACTCTCTGCTCTTGCTTTGGCCAGATGAGAGGGAAGAGAAAGAGAACACGCATGTTGAGAGAAATCCTCCATGGAGCTTGATGGGACTTCAGTGAGTTGCGGTCAAAGGAGTCTGTCTGCGACCTCCTTTTGAAACGTCCTGTGACTTTACTGGAAAAACTTTAATGGAAAACGTCGGATGTCCTTGAAACACTTTTAGAAGGAGTGAGAAGAGAGTGCAGACTTATTTGATTGGTTTAATTTGAGGGGATAGGGTAGAAGTTGAAGGTTTGCTTTAGAGATTTTTGCTGAGGCCCCGTTTCTGGATTGAAACTAAGGGGCGTTGAGGGTTGCTGAAGAAACCATGGATGAAGCTACAGAGCGGGGTCAGGAGGCAGTGATGAACGAGGCTCTCGTTCACTTCGAGGCCACGCTGGAAGCCGCTGTAAGGGAGGTGCACGTGGACGTTAGTGCTTTCAAGCATCGCATTGAGCAGAGGATTGAGGAAATGTGCATTTCCAATGGACCTTTGGCTGAGGCAGTTACCAGACTCCAGGAGGAGAACCTGCAGCTCAGGGCCAAGCTGGAGGCCCTCAGCCACCTGGTGGAGGGTCTCTCAGGGGTGAAGACTGAGGCGAAAGGGAAGAGCAAGGAGCAAAGACTAGAGAACGGCCATATACAAATTCAATCCAAGAGCCAGGAGGAGCAGAAGGGTCTGTTTAACTCTGAAAACAACCAGCCGGGTCAGGCCACGTCCTATGAAGCGTCTGGGCTCAGTGGAGGATCGAGCCAAGCTGCTACCCCAGCCCCTCCTCCATGGAGAGCAAAGAGAAATGCTGAGATTAATGTGAGTATTCAGCCTGTATTTCCACTGAATAAAGAAATACGTAGTAGAATATGTCCAACCCTGTAAGATCAGTAATTAGCAGTGGCAGTGGTCTCAGATGATTAAAAAGAACAACATGAGGGAACCACAGAAGACTTTAGGGGTACGTTTGTGAGTGTGAAGACTTCAAAAACATAAAATCAAAAAGCCTGATGCTTTTTTCTTTAATCTACTTATTGTTTACACATCCAGATAAACTTTGTCATATAGCGTAGCCAGGATTTCAAGGATAGTTCTCTTTTCTCTCTCTCCACATAGACTGTTTACCTGCATGCTACAGCCTGCATCACTTGTCACCCTGCTGACAGGTGATTAGGTGACTCCAGTCGCAAACTAAGACGCTTCTAGAACCAAGAAATGTGTCCCTAGCCTAAAGGTTCTTCACATTCATAAAGGTTATAGAGCAGCAACAATTGTAGTATCTCCACCAATAAGGTTGGGTGATGGGTTCTGTTATCTGTTTGTTAGCTGGACAACTCATCTCCATGTGCGTGGAAATTCACCAGAGGTGGAGTGTGACCCTTTGGGGTTGACCTCCAAAGTTTTTTTTTTTTTGTTTTTTTTCAGGAATATTAACCTTGACACACAAACACACATACATCAAATTAAAATAAGAAAAACTGGCAAAGACAAACTGAAAACCCCCCCAGTCTGCTTTTGTATTTTAAGGCTGTAGTAAAATAACCATCTGAAATGCGATTATATGCCACCTGCCTTCACAAATGACAGCTTTTAGTGTTGGAGGGCACCGACTAACTCAACGACAGGCACGCCTGACCCCGTCCAGCATCGCTGTTAAGCAAACTCTCTCCACATGAATGCTCTGAGCTCCTTCCAAAATTCTTTTTGCATTGCTGCTACATCCCTCTTAACTGGATGCTTCTTAACAGAAATCACATTTCTGTACAATCATTTTATGCAGCCATGACTGCATCATGAAAACTGCTCCTTTCCAGGTGTTGAAAACAAATAACCCTTAAAAGATCAGATTAAGTAAGCCTACCTGATCTCTGTTCATGAAGAGGACACAGCTGAGGGATCTATAGTAAGCCCTCTACACTGTAAAGAGGACAGAGGTCTAGTGGTTATCACTGATTATATACTAAGGTGTCTTTAAGGGGGAAAGAGTTCAATTAATCCTGGTTTATCTTGTACAGGGCTTTGGTGTAGCCTTTGAATTGATCCTGTTGAATTAAGCTTTCTTCTGATTGGCTGTCCCTCACAAACAAAAGATTAGAAAAGCTGGAGCCAGAGCTGTGTATCTGGGATGACCATATTAGGACATCCACCGTCACTGATATCACAGAGAGCCAAGAGTAGAAAAAAACAGCCTGAAATTGAGTATTTGGAGCAGATTGAAGCCTGAGCTTTTCGCTCACAGGGGTTACATTTACATTCACTGATCTCCGTATTTAAAACTTTATTACTATATGTATAAACACATATGACAGAAGTTTAGAAAAAGCATAATAGGTTCATGTTAATAGTCCAGTAATAACAGAGTAATACCATTCAGTTTAATTTAAGTACTAATGAGATTCTGTGTAATCATCCTTTTTGAAACTAACCCCACCACAAACACACACACTTACCCTCTCCCCCACCCCCCATTCTCAGCCTTCTCATCCTCATGACCCGCTTTTATAACAGCAGGTCCTCCAAAGGGCAAGTGTATTTTTGGCTTTGCGATTCAAAAGAGAGCTGCAGCTCTTCTGAGCTTCTGCATGCTCACCAACAACTGCAACTTTCTAGCACACATAAACACCAGCAAACATGCAAGCAAGAGAATCACGCTGAAGTGATCGCTTGATGCACAATCAAGGGCGAAGCGGATTTAATGAAAAGGGCACAAATAAGAACGGCACGCTGCACGACACGCTTCCAACGGCGGCCTCGGTGCACGTACGAGGGGGGATTGTTCGATATAACTCACATGCACACTCTGATGACAGGTGTATAAATAAATCCACATCCTCTAACCACTCAGGAACCTTGTTTCCCCGCCAGTCCAAGTCTCAGATCTCCTAATGGAAAGTTGAATTGCATCTATATCCCTGTCGGATAAACTCTCCCCCAGCACAAACCCTGAGAGAGACAACCAGCTGTCCCGCCAAAGTGCTCGCCCTGCCAGCATTTCTGTTTGCTGAGGTCACTTGGTCTTTTCCCAAACATTGATCCCC